TCTGAGTCAGCCTTTGCTCACGTATATCGGGTTTCAAACCACCAACCCGCTGCTCATTATGTTATTTCTTCAAACCTTCGTGTTGCAGCGATCCAGAAGTTTGGTGTCTGCGCTGTAATCTGACGCGAGGCAGATGTTTCCAGTTAAAACACAGATTAGCAATGTACATAAATTTAAATGCATATTTGATGTAAAAGAAACAAACAGAACAGAATCAGCCAGTAAGTCACCACATGATGCTTTTTCCTTATTTTTCCTCCAACATTTGCTCCTGACAGCTCCAGAGGCTCCAGGCGTGTTTACACTCCAAACTTATTTAAAATATTCTCTCAGCAATTATCACCCCTGGAACATTTGTCTCTTATCAGCTGCCTCCCAGCATGCAAGAGCTTTTTTTTATTGTTTTTTTTCATTAAACATTATTTGCTGCCACGCACTCATCTGCATATAGATTTACGTGTCGCTCGCAAATTATTTCACATGTACGTAATTTGTATACTCTGTAGAAAACAATGAAACACAAACGATTCCAGCGTCTGTTTCTGGTTCGACATAATTGGATGATATGAAACTTTTCACATCCCTGTGGGCCTTTTTTTTTTCAGCTGAAGCTTTAGAAGAGTTGATTACAGAGGCGGCGTTAGCAGCAGACGTGCGTGTGGTTCAACAGGTTTTTGTTTGCTGTTTTTAAAGGATTACTGCAATTTGTAGACTTCCCCTGATCAACCTGTAATATCAGAAATCTCTAGGATCTTGTTCTATGTCCCACACTGCTTTATTTTTTTATTTTTTTTATGATTGCAGCGATGATTACTGCTGATTATTAGTGAGATCGGATCAGATCGACGTTTGCAGTGTGCAGTGCAGCTGAACTGATTACCGTGTAATAACAACCACATGGGCCTGCAATGAAAAAAAAAAGCACACGGAGGCAAGGATTCTTCTTCTGTGGTGTCCTCGGGGAGCAGGCAGGGAGGCGGCTGAGTCAGCTGTTCTGAGCTTTAATGAGGGGAGAGCCGAGTACTTTCTGTCAGTCACACACAGGAAGTTTTATACAGACTCGTGCATGTATAAAACATGCAGATGGACACGCAACCCGTGTTACTGCCTTTTTCCCATGTGTCTCGCTAAAACACACATGCACCTGAGCACAAATCCTCTCCTCCTGCATTTCTTGTCTTCATTTAGACTCTCTTTACACACAAACACACAAACACACTTCCCCTTTGACCTTTATTACTCCCATTACCGTGTGTTGCACATCAGCCCCAGAGCTGCAGCGAAACTCTAATTTGAAGTAAATGTGTTGGTGTTTATGTAAAGGGGGCTAATGGGGAGGAAAACGAGTCTCGAGGTCTGTAAATGCGCCCGAGTGTTTGTGTGCCCTCCAGAGCCCGCTGTACTCACCAGGGAGCCTGTCCAGCATGCTATAAAACTCCACAGCTCTCAGGCAAAATGTGGCTGAAATGAAGGTTTAATGTGCTAGAAAACTGGTAGTTGGGTTTAAATGGTGTGTGTGTGTTTGTTTTAATGGATTCCGTGGGTGTCTCGGAGTGTAATTGTGTGTATATGTGTGTAAGAGGCGTGCTTTAGTGAGCTTGTTGCATTTTTTTTTTCAATTAAGTAATGGCGTGTTTAGCTGGAATGGACACAAAATGTTTTGTTAGTTTGTAAAAGAAAGAAAAAATCCTAGTGAAGATGCTGTTTAAAAGAATACAGATACGTCCCTTTTATTATCTGTAAAAACATGCATCATGTTAAAGATAGAGCCGTGTGTGTTATGGATTCTGATTGCTAATTGATTCTTATGTCGCCCTCTGCAAAGCGTTACATCCCTTTAACATTCAGTGAGTAGGATAATTACAGCCAGAGAAGCTTAAACTGTTTGGATCTGATGATTGCATTTGTTTACTTGTATATGTCTAATAAATTTCCGTAATATGAGCAGAAGCCATGAAAGCATCGCGCCTTATGAATGGAGCCCTCCACAGATTCAGTATTTCACAAAGTCACGAGATTCTCACATGACTCTAAACGGGTCCGGAAGCACGTCACTGTGTGGTTCCCATAATGCAGCTCACGGCGTCTTGTCGTGACACGCTCCCCCTCTGATCGCTTCTGACATCTTTGAAATTTCATGCCCCCAGCTGGTCACACAGGCTTTCTGTTCTGAATTTGTAGCCTCTCAGTCTGAGCCAAGATCGCTCGTCATGAGGGACATTTTTCAGACATGACAAAGCTCCACATGGAGTCACATGTTCTCGCTGTTGTCCAGGAGGTGCTGTGCAGCGCTACAGGCCGCTGGTACTCGCTCGCCACATGCACGACTGCAGACACGTAGATGTTCTTATAACAACGCTTTCCATACATGTGCACTGGACCAACATCTACGTCGTTGACTAAACCTTTGCTTCACTCGCTGGGCGGCGCCAGAAGTTCTCAGTGGATAAACTAATTATTGATATTTTATTAAAGCTCCAGACGAATTTAAGCGTGTTGTAAGCCAGCAAAAAGAGAAAGTGGGACAGGCAGGATCTTGTAAAAGCAGTGCAGTTTGTGCCAGGTTTGGATCTAGAAGATAAAACTGGTATAAAACCACTGAACCAGAGCAAAGCACACGGGCACAGGAGTTTAAATGTTAACCTGCAGGGTTTTTGTTTTCTATTTATTGGCTTTTATTTAGTGAGTTGTTTGTTTGATAGTCTGCATGGACGGAAGTTAAAGCATGATTTTGGTTGGTGACGAATGTGACTGAAGGTTTAGAATTACTCTTAAATACACCCAATGTGGGTTTTGGTTGGTTTTTTGTTTTTTAATATTGTGGAATTTTATCAGTCAAATTGGGCTCAGTTGCACTTAAATTTTCTTATAATTTTCCAACTATTAGAGTGGTTGAATAGCATACATTTCCATTTAACTGACAGGTAAATGAATCTTTTGGAACATCCCTCGTCTGTTTTAGACTCTTGCGCCCAACAGAACAAATGCAGTTGGTGCAGTTGTAGCTTCTGTGCAATCTCAGAAAACTGGACGGTATACTAATGTCTGCACGTTGCTTTGAGGAAATTTATGTCACTTGCGTACTTTTAGATGCGGAAAATTCCTCCTAGTGTGGAATTATTTACTTGCACTGACTAGATTTTGCTTTGCCACTGATTTGACTTTGGCAAAGTGGAACTATGTGCATTCGCTTCAGCTACTGAAATACCACAAACACTTTCCCGATGTATTGATGCATTTGTAACCAAACTGGTGATCACATTGTTGTGTGTCCAAGTTTTGCTTTTAGAAATATAAAAGCAGGAGTGACATGCAGGTTTCTTTTTGAATTTGCTCTCTGTCACACTCAAAGGTAGAAATCTGTGTCTCCAAAGCAAAATCAAACCTGGACTTAGACGGTCTTATTCCAGTTGTAATGTTTAAAGCAGACTTCAAAACATTTGTATGTTTTTACTGGTGGTGCAGTGCATGTATGTCTGTTTTAGACGTGTATATTCCCACAGTGAACGTTCCGTGTCTTGAGTCTGTTTCTGATCCGCTGCGTTTTGCCAACGGGCTGTTTGGTCAGTTTGTCTTCAAAGTTCAGGCTTTTTCTTTGCTCCGGATCATGTAAATAAACCCAGATGAACTGCAGCGATAACGTGAAGACGTCTGAGCCGTTGAGCATCCGCTACTTCTGAACGCGGCTAATATTTAGTGCATCGGGGGGTAAACCTCGGACATTTTCGGAGTCACGCCTGTACGTCAGATCTCACCACGAGGGACGGTTAGATCACATCCTCTGAATTGGCAAATGTCGGATGGATTTTTTTTCATTTTCTCCTCAGCTAACCGGAGCCAGCTGAACACAGACACGAGCCTGGCGGGAGTCACAGAGGGATGGCATGAATCCCATCTTTAATCTAATAGAAGGACTCGGTAGAGGCTGGAATTAATCAGATCTGTAAGGGAGAAGAGCTTTGAACATAAATGGAGAGAAAGCGAGCAGGCATTTTGAGTGAAGACAGAATATGATTGGACATAATGAGTGTCTCAGTGTCATAAAGTAGGGGCTCTAAATCACCTTCATTTTCCTTTTTTGGACTGCATGTGCGGTCCTCCTGCTTTGGAGCAGAGAAGGACCACCATGTCCTCTTTTGTCTGGGCACCGCTGTCAAAGCAGCTACCTCTTAATTTATTGCGCTCCAGCTGTAATTTAGACCACGCTGGACCAGTTGGTGTTGACGTCTACCCACAAAATCACATAGTATGTTGGGTTTTAATGATTCCCATTTCCCCCCTCCAGGATTAACTGGATTAAATTCAGATTTGTGGTGAATTAAGTCTCGGTTGTATCGTCTCAAACACAGAAGAAAAGAAGTCTACACAAGCTGCTTAATCGTTTATGATAACTTCATTTAGAGAACACCTTCAAAAATAAGGGATATTCAGGAAGACCAGTGCTGAACAGAAGCCTGGTTTGTCCAAACAGAAAGAATAAAGACCAGACAGGCAAAACATAATTACACAATAAATCAATATAACAAAACCAGATATAATAATAAAAACAAGAAAAATGACAAATTAGGAAAAAAAAAAGAGAAATTATTTCAAATTGAAATGAAAAACAAAAAGAGGTCAAAACCGTAAAAACAACAACAACAATAGTAGTAAAATGAATATTATAGTAGTATAGTGGTTTTATGCAACTGTTTTATACAAAAAGAAAAACTTAAAACTACATTATTTCCTTTTTGCTCTCCTAACCCTCTGCTCGTCTATTTTGAAATCTTTCTACTGTTTTAACATACTTACATTGCATTATGCCAGTTTTTGCAGGGTTTCTATTTATTTATTCCCATTTTTGTCGCCCTTTCTATCACTGTAGTTGCAGTTTCATCTGTTTTCTGGGGATTTTAAACATTTTGCTGGATTCCTGTATTTATCTGCAGCATTCTTTGGGTTGCAGTTGAGCCTGTTTGTCTCATTCTCACAGCCAACCTCTTGTGCTCTCCTTCCAGTTGATCGCTATATATGACGAGCAGGAGCCCCATCATGGAGGCGACGGCACCAGCGCCAGCTCCACGGGGACCCAGAGCCCCGACCTGTTCGCTGCAGACCTCAGCGCCGGCAGCGGAGCCTCGGCCTTCCAGCCCTACCAGGCCGCCAGTGAGATCGAGGTGACGCCTTCGGCCCTGCGCACCAGTAAGTACAACCAGTGGAAACATTAGATTGTGAATACATGTTTCTGGACCAATGGCCATCAGGTGATTTGTAGATGTTTGCAGTATTTGTAGAAAAGCATCATTATGCACACATATAATCAGTAATGAAGATGTTTACTGATTTACACACAGGTCTGTTCATCTCATATTCCTCATGTTGTCATCCTGGTTGGAGTCAAATGTCAGCCACTACAGCAGTATGCGGAAACCCCAACAAATCACCTCATCACAGCCCAGCTCCTCAGCCGCTGTTCATAAATTCTGTTAATTGGACAGGAGTTGCCTTTTTTTTCAGCCACAGATAGCCGTTTGATCCGCGGCCAAAGCAGCTAATTGGTTCTGTTCGCTGCCTCCTAAATCAAATGTGACGCTGAGCCCGTTCACCTCTGCAGTTCTGCCGGCCAGGTCGCTTCTTCTACTGTAATTACCGGGAGTTTGGATGAGGAACTGACTCTTGTAGGTGATTCGTCAATTTGAGTCAAGCAAAACCCTTTTTTGAACACAACCGAAAGCAGAAGCAAATAAGTGTACATGCAAAGGCATAGAGACGAAAGCATAGACTTACTGCTTCTGGTTTTTTGATTTCTCCATTATGGCAGTTTTCATGTGTCTCTGTGGCTGAAACTGAAGCTGCCTAAAGTGAAATTTCAGACTCGTGTTAAAGAAAAAATGTTGATGCCTCAAGATGAAATTTAAACATTCAAGCACAAAATAATTTTGCTGTCATGAATGAAAATAAACGTCTATGTAGGTTTCTGAATTATTAATGCACTAATGCCACTTAAACTTTAGTGATGATGACCAGTAATAGAGACAATAATTATAATCAAAGATAAACAATCAGGGACAAGGTTAAAATTGCATCACACACACATTTATATATATATTATGGGGAGCTGCACGAAAGCATGACCCTGGATTTGTTGCACACTACACAAAGTAGACGCTTTTGTTGTAACACACACACACACACACGAACAGTGGGTGAAAGACGTCACACAGCACATTCAACATTACACTTAACTAAACTTTCTCAACCAGCTAAACCATACGAACCACAAAAGCACAATAACAACCCCATCACCCCAAACTCCCATGGTGCACTGCAGCACAACTGTTCAGTCTTAGCAATCTGACTCTGGGATCACTGCAATATATAGATAGCATGTGTCACATTATCTTGTAAATCCAACTAGCGTATGTTTTCCTGATTCACATGCTGTAGAGGTAGCGAGTGTTTGTGAGCCCTTTCAGACATTCTGTATTTTCCATTCCTCTGATGGCATCTGATTGTGTTGCTGTCATGTCTGAACAAGTGCCACGTTTCTGTAGAAGCTGCAACAGCAGTTTGTCCTAAGTCAACCTTGTAGCATCTTTTTCAACATGACCAAAGTTTGAACTGTATGCATTTAGATGAATAGAGGAGACACACACAAGGAAGTGGGAGGTGTGGCTCAGCACAAGATGCTGGGTCGACTCCATCAGCGTGTCTTTGCCACTTTGTGAGTTGCTTAGCTCATGAGAAATGATTTAGAGAATACCCTAAACAACAAACACACAAGGAAAAAATTGCCCTGGAACATACTTGTGCTTGTTGGTTATTTTGCATTAAGAAACATCTCACCTCATGTTTTGTACGTCACTTGCTGCACCATCCAAATTCTTACATGTGGCAAATATTGCACCTGCACCGTGGCCCTCTGCTGCTGTCTGAGACGTCCTCGGGCAGCCTGACAGGTGAAATACGGAAGCAAAACAGCCACGACATCACCTGCTGAGGCTCCTGCTAATCTGTTGAAGAACTTTTAGCAACTCCCAGTTTCTGTAATCTGGATTATAACTGGTGTTGCTTCCACACAAATAAAATCGACTTGCAAAGTTTGAAATCGCAAAAGATTTTGGAGAGAAATAGTGAATACAAAAATATCGTTTGAGAGTGAACAGTGGAGAATCAATAGGTTGCATGCTTTTACATATGTGGTGCAGAATAATATGCATCACTAACGTGTAGTTTAAAAAAGCACGAGCTGCACGCATGTCGACAGGAAGTCACAAGACGAATAAGGAGCAAGTGCAGCAAATACAGAAAAATGATGTCTTAAAAAGCAACAGATACGTTTCAAATGTGCAGGAATGTTTTTTCATAATTATTTATTCGTCACTTTTACTCTATAAAGTCATTTTATGCTTAATTCTCATAACTTTGCTTCACTTTTTTCGATAAACATAATCGTTAAAAACAAATTATTTTTGCCTCAGTGTCTTTAATCAACACTGAAAGTCTGATGCTGGTTTGACTTCTCCACTAATGACCTGTGAAATGGCAGTGATTGACTTTCGCAGACCCCAAATTTTTCCTTTTTCTGTCTCTGTCTCACACACAAACACGCTGAGACGGTGTGAGCGAGGTCACTGCAGCCCTAATTGGATTTCTGGTCGAGATGCTGAATGTGAATTTTGAGTAAGAAATGGAAATCTGGTAATATAATCACACCTGCCAGTTGCGTCCAATTTAGCCGTCTTCATAATAAATTCTAACCCTGCTTAATTGACGACTCTGAATCTCATCAGCTGAATTTTAATGGGTTTTAAGAGAAATGTCTGACATGGAAGAGAAGGAATTTGATTAATTTTTTTCCCCTTCCCGTGAGCGCCTAATGAGAATAGCTTTCAATCACCGATTTATGTTGGAGGAGACGAGATGAGAAGCGCCGGACTCTGTGGGTCTGCCAGTTTTTTCTTGTTTGGTCCACGAACTCACAAGAAAAGTGATTAAACTTATTAGACAGAGAGCTCAATTGAAACTCACAAATGGATTGATGTCAATTTCTTGCCTTTGTTAAACTCAAAACCTCTGTAGATGAGAAGAAGCCGATAAAAGGACAGTGTCACTGTTGTGGACATGTGAAGCTTTCAAATGCTAATTTCAAAGGCTGCTTTTTGTACAGTGGAGGCAGTAAAGGGATCCAAAGACTGGCTATTTGTTCTGGCCATTAAACACACTCATTTTAATGTTTATTTAATGTTGCACTGGAGCTTTTCACATTTGTGTATTTGTTCGTTAACATTTAATGTGTTTTTATTTGGCTTTAGTTGTACTTTGCTGCTGCTGATGGTGTAACAGGTGTGTTTGTTCATCCACCGGGTCAGTGGTGGTTCCTCTGTCTTTATGTGCTGAGTCAAGCCGTCACTCTGAAGTCTGACAATCGCTTGCAAATGCCTTTAATTATGCATTTAATTTGCGACTGATTTTGTCTTGTCATCAGGGACGGAGAGATGGGGTGACACAGGCTTTTTTAAACCTCTGTTAAGCCCTCGTTGCAATTTGTCATCATACATACTGTGTTTAATGCAGACAAATGTGTGATATAAGTGTTTTCACTCTGGTGTCTTTCTGCTTCTGCTGTGAGATGTCTATAATAGAGTGAAATGTGATCACATCAAGGCACCACATTGAAATAGCACAATTAAAACAACAGATGTTGAGCCAAAGTGCTCTCAAATAAAGAAATCAGATTGCTACGACAAATAGCGAGCAAAGGTGTACATTAGCATTAAGACCCTACAATGTTGTTTTTTATGCAAATTGTCCTGATTAACTTCAACATTAAGTTAAGAACCTGTTGGAAGTCTGCCAGACTAATGAACTATTTTAGAGTTTAGGCATAACACTCTACAAAAGCACACATGGAAAACCCGACAAATTTCCTTTCAACAAGCAAACTGGCAGCAGTGGAGAGGAACATCTCCTTGATAACCGGGAAACACCTCCAGCAGAACCAGGCTCAGGTAGAGCAGCAGTTTGCCTCAACCAGCTGGGATGAGGGTCAAGGCCTTTGAGGAATGACTAGCAGAGACAAACAAGAAAACAGACACTGACAGGTACAGACCGGTGCAGCTTCAGAGCCAGAAACACCTGCAGAAAGTTAAAGGGCTTTTCTTTTTTTTCTTTTTTTTTAAATATCTGACAAAGTGACGAAGGGTTAATGACAACAGCTGAATCATCTGAGATGAGTGATTACAGATAAACTTAGAGCTTCTCATCCACTAGCAGTGATGGGATTGTCTCAAGCGCCAACAGATGGCAAAAAAATCCCTAATTTTACTACATGCATACATGTAGCTTATATATTCTATCTGGATGTGCCACCGTGTTGAGCCTCTTACTGTTTAGTACAACAGCCAGCTGAGGGAGCAGAGGTGATTGATGGGGTTTAGGTGGCAGTGGACACCATGACTAAGACTTATGTGACACTTAATGACTTTCAAGCAGAGTGCACGTACTTACGACAAGCCGGGAGTGTTCCTGTATCCCACCAGTGCTAAACTGTTATTGGTTAAACCTTTTAGACTGATAATGCTGCCCATTGGTGATGTATAAAAGTTTTCATAATGTACAGCCGAGCATCCTGCCACAAACTGTGCTCACCCTTGATGACGCCCAGATGTAAATGAAGCATCAGGCTTTGGTAGGTTTGTCTTAGGAATGCTTAGATAGAACCAGAATCCAAACCATCCATCCATCCATCATCTATACACCGCTTCATTCTCACTGGGGTCATGGGGGGCGGAGTCTATCCCAGCTGACTCAGGGTGAAGGCAGGTTCACCTGGACAGGTAACCAGTCTATCACAGGGCTACACTTAGAGACAGACAACCAAGCACACTCACATTCACACCTACGGACAATTTACAATCACCAATTAACCTCAGCATGTTTCTGGACTGTGGGAGGAAGCCGGAGAACCTGGAGAGAACCCACGCTGCACGGGGAGAACATGGAGACTCCACGCAGAAACATCTCATTACCGGGACACGAACCGGGGATCTTGTGGTTGCGAGGCGACAGTGCTAACCCTGTATCAGGATGTGCCGTATAAAAATACAGGAGATTTCTCAACCTTACCATGCAAATACACAAAATGCAGAATTAGGACACACTACTCATCTCTGTAATTCAGTTCAAGTGCTGCACTCTTGTATCCTAAAGCCATCTACAGCAGCAGTAGTTGGTGTTGAGACCTGTCAGGCCCGTGTCCCTTCCTGAACTCCATCCTCCCAGAGAGCCCACTGCCTCCTGCAGCTCAGAGGGATTTAGGTCCCACGCTCCGGGTGACCCGACAGCACCACTTAGCCAAGTACATGAGTGTATAAACACACACAAGCACTTTTCCAGCCTCTCAACAACTACTGTAGCTGTTGGCTCAGATACCTCAAAACACAAACATACATCCACCCGTTTGTGTTTGCATAATATTCTAACTTATCATTCACACACAGCCTTTAAACACAATGATTCACAAATCCTCCCCCCCCAAACACACACACACACACACACACACACAGAGCTCCACTTAAGATTGAATAAATGTACACACCTCTAAACAAAGGTATTAAGTGTTCCGACACACACAGATCTCGTCAGTTCATCAGAGAGTACAGAGAAATAAACACTCAGATGGTCGATCATTTAGTCTCACAACACACTAAAAGCCAAGTATCTGTTGACATGCACTCATCGGACACAGCAGCAGGGATTTTTTGGGAAAAGAACATGAGAACGTGACACTTGTCATCCGAAGACGACACTCTGGCTTTTTTAAACAATTATATTTAGTTTATAATCCTTCTCCCTTGTGTGGTCTGCTTGGTCCCTTTTCAGCCAATCAGATCAGCTTCTGGATTTGCAGAGGTCTGAAAAGTAGGAGATTTTTGTTGTTGCTGTCGTAGCATTGTGTGGCTGTGGAGTTTAGTGCGCGCTGCCCTTGTTGGAGTTGTTATTTGGACCTTGGCCCGTCGCCCACGCGATGCAACTTTTTAAACAGAGTGAAGAGTTTTAATGGAAGGCATCCACGAGCGCTGGCGTTTCTCAATAGGCTCTTCCTCTTGTTGTTGTTCCCACACAGAGTCTGCTGCTGCTGCTGCCGCCGCTGTGTGTTATTAGAGGACGCTAAAGCAGAAACGGGAGCTGCCTGATTAGACTTTTAGTGATAAATCTGATTAATTCACAATGGGCTGATAATGGCGTTTCAGTGATTAATTTCCTTTATTAGCCCACATTGTTTGAGAAGTATAATTTGTTCAGCATATTTGCATCAATCATCCTTAAGTATAATATTAAATCTTTGTCTTGAGTCTTACGAACTGCAGCAATTTTAATTTTTTTTTAAGCGTACATCCCCAATGTGCCTCTTTCCTACAACCAAGTGAAAAATAAAGTGGTTGTTTTTCTTCATAGACTATATTCCAGCTTAAGTGGAAGCAAGCTGTCTGTATTTATTTCTTAGAACTTTCTTCATTTAAATATTGTAGCTCATCAGCTGCTTTGTCCGTCTTGTCTCTTAGATATGCCCCTCCACGTCCGGCGCAGCAGCGACCCCGCTCTGCTCACCATCAACGGGCCGTTCAGCGGCGGCGATTCACGAGTTCAAGCCGAAGACACACCGTCGAGGAAGAACCCGACCCGCTGGTCCACCACCGCTGGCTTCCTGAAAGTTCGCCACTCCTCAGGCACAAACAGCCTGGAGAGGAAGGTAGGCAGCTGGGTGACAAAAGCAAAATTAAAAATACAACCACACGTAGCTCACCGGTGTCTGATCTGTACAGAGGCACTGAACGTTTTTATATATCTGTCATGTAGAACGAATTCTTGTTTCAGTCAGTACCTCAGATTTGTAAATCTTGTCTTCGCTAAGATAAAACTCCAAAAGTCAGCTGGTACATTCACCTGCAAATCTCACCTTTAACCTCACTTTCACTTTATCACAGCTGGTCTCAGCAACTTGTGACTCTTGACAACTATTTTATGCTTCCCTGAACCTGGGCGATATCCAGATAGATGACAAATGAAAGGAAAAACAAACAAAAAGCTTCGTGCTAAGTTGCAGATGCCAAAGCAGCTTCAATCCCCCTTAGTATTAATTCTCCGACTACTGGAGGGACTTTCGCCGTTCTTCCAAACATATGACCTGAGTTGGTGTTTTGATGATGATAGTGGCAAACACAGGACTTCAAAACCTCCTAGACATGTTCAGTTGGTTTGAAATCCAGTGATTCTGAAGACAGTCACATGCGATTCATATTCATTTTATACAGATTCAGAAACCATTCAGTGACCTCTCATGTCCAATGGATTGGGGCGTTGACATCTAGCCTTAAGATAAAGGAACTCTTTACACATCCATAACACAAGACAGATGCATCGTTTCAGAAAGAGATTTTGTTTCTGGACATTAATCAGGCTGGTGCCAGACTTCATGAAGATCTAGCACTGAAGATAGAAATGTACTTTCACAGCATAAAGATGATCACACAGTAGCTTAGTATTGATCCCTTCACTATAGAGGTCAAGAGCTTCAGTCAACCTTTTATTGGCCATCTCTATGCATGTGACCCTCGCACCTTTTTCATTTTACTTTTTAACCAATATTTCAGCATGCCTGTTAGTTGGAACATATGGAAACGGTGTTTGACCTGAAAAGGTTGGCATTTCTGCAAAACCATCATGCATGTTTTACCTTACAGGGTAAAGGTATGGACACGTACCGCAGCCTGCCACGGGATGCAGGAACCTGGGCCAATCAGAGGGAGTTTCAGAGAGAGACGGCCCGCTCATCACTCAGCGCCAATCACCCCATGGTGGACCGCTGGCTGGAGAGACAGGAGCAGGTAGGACTATATGCTGATAAACATGCATGCAAAGAAACAGAAAATACAGCGACTGAAAAATGTGCAATGATGTATTTCCTAAAGATGTAAAGTTGTAAATATTGCTTGCGACAAGTTACCTGGCAATTATATGCTGCTGTTTGATTGACTGTGGATTGTCAAAGGTTTCTGAAATATGTGTGAAAAGTAAGTAAAGTAAGGAACATGACGAGTGTCCAGAAGGTTGAGGTGCAACAGAAAGCTCTGTATCTATCTGTTAGACTTTGTCCTCACATGAAATGGACGCCGGATACCTTCAGCCCTCCACTGTTCACAGATTTATAGCCAGTCTCACCCTCAGATTACCCATCAGCACTAAGCTCTGTGAAAGCCTGACTGAGTGCCCCAGATCCAGTCCATAGCCCGACCCACTTCTCGCACTCCCACTGGGCCACAGCGAAGAGGTTAAAAAGTGAAGAATTTTCACCATAAATCCACAATGACACATAAGTCATACAATGAGAAATAACATTGGTTGATATAACAAATGACATAAGCCACATACTGTACATATGGTCCTGCTTAACTGGATATCTCAAATGCTGCAGGGTCAGGAGATCTTTTTCCTACTGGGGTCAAAGTCACGTTAGAATATGATGAAGAAATATGATATTGCATCATGACCGCATGCATCCTTTATTTCATGCTCAGTCTTTGTCTGGGTCGTGTTGCAAGAAACTGGGTTAGAAGTTTCCCGTATCATAATATCAGGACGTAAGAAAAACAACTGCATCAGCAAAGCGAGTTGAACAAATATAAAACCCTGTTTTATCTTTTTATGGCAGTTGGTTCTGTTTGGTGGTCTGACACCTTTATTCTAGTAACACTCTGTTAAAAATGTGGGTTTGAATCCAAGTGTAATATTTAGGAACACACTCTGATGTGTTTTTCTTGCAGTGTGTGATGTAGAATGTACAGTGAGTTCATGGACAACAGTCCGATCAGGGCTTTTTGTTTTGACCCGTCATCTTTCCGAGAACTGTTGGATTCTTTATTCAAACTTTGAACTATTCAAGGCTGCAAACACCAGTGATGTGAATGGATGCCCAATGTCAGAAAGTGAACAGAAAGACTTTAAAAGGGAAATTTTGGAAGCCGAGATGAGCTAATTTACCAATTTTAGTAGAAGGTGACACATTTTGACTGATTGGAGTGTTGTAAATCCTGGATATGCATTTGTTTTATGTGCGTCGTATGTTGGCAAGTTAAACACTTTAAGGCCAAATTTTGTTTAATGTTTTACTCCATTGAAAAAACTAAAAACGGTATTTCTTCAAGAGAAGCTCAAAAGGGCGTTGATGCACCATCACTTGGCTGAAGCTGTGGGCTGTTGCATTCTGTTGGCTTGTATGTGGACAACCATCACTCGTAGCTTTTGTGCTTTTATCAATAACCATTTTGCCAATTTTACATGTTTAATATTTGTCAGGAAGACTGCTGTCTGACTTGCTGCTTGGCTGCATAATTCATGGATTTGATTTATTTAATTTTCTTCTTCCTCATGAAGAACTCGATAGACTAATCCCTAGGGGTCAACCGATATGGTTTTTTTGTACTTACTTATTTACTTATTTTTCCTAATCGAGGAGACACATAATCAATATTTGGAACGGATATACTGTACATATGCAATAAAAATATAAATCCTGACGTCAATAATTGTAGCAACACAAACATTACAAAACTGTGCTGGAACGCTTTAGTTTATTTATGTTTAAGACACACGTTTAAATACAAAAAGAGGTTTTTACCGTTTATCCCTCAGTGCTGATAGGCTGCAGCAGAGCCACAGTAGCATACATTTAATACGTTTATTTAATAGGAGTAAGTCAAGAATCAATATCACTGGTAATAACATGCAGATAAAATGCAGAATAACAGATCTGATAATCGATCAGTCCCTACTAACAACAGTGTTGTTGCATATTGCAGTGACTAGTTTTGTTTTTTGTGTATTGAAAAATGATTGCATGCTTTTTGTATTTACAAGTACAAATGTATTTGTTTTTGTCTCATGCATGAAGAAAATTACTACACAATGAACTATCCTTAGGTTAGAATGTGTTTTAGTGGAACTCCTGATAGATCATCTCAGTGATGTGTTGTCTGTGTTTGTGCTGCTTCTTTTAAACTACCTTTTAAGACCCAGCACAGTCTAACCAGCTTTTAAAACCCAGTTCCATACAAACATATTGGTTTATCACCAGCATGCTCCTTAGTTCCATCCAACTCAAACTTTCCTGCTGTTTTATGGGCTTTCCTTTTTGTAAACAGGATCTTCCACAGAAGGGTTAAGTGTGCAACAAGTTCTCACCATTTATCAGTGCAGCGCTGCAGCGGTTTCCACATCTGTCTTGCAGCAGGTTTTAGTATGAAGGGGGTTAAGTGGTGGAAGTGACGGCAGGATGGTGTAGTCGGTATTAATGACCTGCTGAAGGCCATCTGGCCTCCTCAACTCACACATATACCCTCTCAGACACATCCCCCCCCACAATCTGCTCATTCTTGTGACAGCCTTCGCAGTGACATGAGCAGCCATGTTAGTCTGTGTGTCCTTCTGCTGTGTGTTTGTGTGTCTGTCTTAGTTAATGCTGCTTCTCTCTGTGTGATAGTGAAGGACAGCTTGTTGACAGGATGCGGTTTTGTTTATGTTTGCGCCACAACTGTGCAGGTAGAGCTCGCTCAGAAGGTGACCCGGTCAGATCCGAGTTACATGTTCATACGTAGTGTCAGATTTCTTCTTATCAGTAACGCGCACAAGCTGGAGGCCTCACGAGCTGCTTTTGTAGTTGCCAGTATTGTGCAGAATGACTCTGCTCGCTGTCACTGTCTTAAGTCACATATTGATTTAAGCTCCTCTTAGCTTACTTTGTTCCAGGAAGGATGCTGCAACTCTGCTGCCTGATGAGAAAAGCCTTGCTTTTGACAATCAAGTGAAAGAATAGATGGGATTTACCAGACTGAGGAAAAATCCCTTTTGTTAGAGGCTAAAGTCTGTTGGTATACACAGTGGATTGTAGATTGCTGTTTTAATAAGTTTTGGATGCTCTCCTTTGTCTTACTCTGTTGTTGTAACGACCAAATAACCCTCCTCATCACCGCATTTCATCTTATTGGAACACATCTAAAAACAGAACCAGGCAACAGAGACGCTTTGTTTGTGTTTCTGTATAGAAATAAATCGACTTAAATCTCAGTCTGACCTCATGAAATTTTAGTCTGTAGGCAAACTTTGATGCTGGCAGCGTCTGACGGAACTGCAGGCAGGCAATTATAAATGAATATGTGGCTCAGTTTAAAAGAGGAATGTGTTACCTTTTCAACAAAGGCATTAGAAATCTAAGAGCAGAAGTTGCTTCAGCTGTTAGCTCCAGTCGCTGCCCCCACTTTGAGCGCTGCCTTTATACATAGTGTAATAGACAGTTGATTGATGCAGAAAACTTGGTTTGAAGGCCATGCACACCCACACAGATGTTTTCAGTTATTCTGTCTATGCAGACCTCTGCTCTGGTTGAAGGTGGGTGAAGCTGTGCAGGGAATAATGTGGAATCACAAGACTCTGGCCTTGTCCACACGAATACGGATTCTTTATCTTACAAAACTAATATTTTCCTTTTCATTTTAGCCTCGCATCCACATTTAAATGGCACTTTAAGTCGCTCAAACAGATTTTTTGAGCACCTTCTCCAGTGCTGATTTTGAAAAACTCCAATTTTTGGGGGGGATTTTTTCCGATGATCAACATCAGGTTTGTGTTGACCGATTACTGTTACATTAACTGCACTACTTCAGGTCTGAGGACTCTGTGATCTCAGAAATGTCTCTCAAGCAGCGACTTCCAAAACTGATGAAGACACACAAGCCATTGCCACAAACCAGGAAAACAGTGACGAAGGCTACGCTAACGGCTAGAGGTTAAGGTTGAAGGCAGCCACAGATTAACCTGAAACAGAGTCTGGAAAACAATAATTAATAATGTTTTAAGACATATGGACCTTGGTGGGCAATAAAAGTGATAGAACAGTGAAATATTAAGAAAACAGAAGAACTGCAGGAAACTGATCAATCTCAGTGGATCCCACATAAACAGAGGAACGCGTCCTGATTTAATCACTCCTGTTTTTGTTTTATATATTCAGTTATAATCACCCTTAGTTATGAATGACATGTTCTTGCTGTTAAAACATTACATTTAATGTTTATCGGCTCACAAGATTGGCCTTTCTTGAGCACCAGTATTCAGCATCAACCTGGAGAACCCACATCGGTCGATCCCTGCTCACTTTACGCAGCAGCAATGGCAAAATATGCAACGGTTTCTTCATGATTTGCATAAGTTTACAACTGAACTGATAATTGCACTACTTTTCCTGCATGCTGAAGCCTCTTTGTTTGCTGTGTCTAACGTTACCTGGTCCATAGCATCTTCAGAGACGATAAAACGACAGAATATTCTCTGATATCTGATATATCGTTGATGTAGACTGGTAGACTTTAAGTGCTGTTGCCATGTGTGTGGAGCTGTTTTACAAATGCTGTTAGCGCAGGTGGACAGATTTATTTAATTTCTTAAACTAAGGAGGAAGATGTCATTTTTTGAAAAATATCCGTATTAGTGTGAACAAGGGTTGAGTGTAGTGATGAAGTGAGTAAGGAAGCTGTTGCTCCTCCCTGGTGGATGCATGAAAATTAGCATGATTAAGATTTCAACCACGAGGAGCTTGTTATCACCCACACAGTACTGAGGAGAGGTTTTAGCATGCAGGCTCACCTGTGTACAGTTGTCCTCCAATGAATTCATACCCTCCCAGTAAAGAAGGAAAAAAACTGTTGTAGATGTGCAAAGTAGCAGCAGACACAAAAGTCTTCTCTCCAGGTTCTTGACAAGACAAGCAGCTGACACGTCCTGGCTGAACTAAGACAAAGATAAAATCAAACAAGCTCGTATGACTTCGTTATGT